ATTACTGATTCATCTTCCCATCTTATTTTTCTCCACGTTCCTTTTTATCATCAGGCGATGTATTAAATGAATGCTTATTGAAATGATATATATGTACCTCAAGATGTGGCTAGAACTGACAAATTTACACTTTTAAGTTTTTAGTTAATTAAGAATCCTGATTTTTTTTCTACCACTCCTGTGCTTTATTCCATTGACTTGTAGGATGCTGTGATGTTCCAAGGACATTAATTTCTTAACAAATGTTTCTGTATGTATAGATTGTTAATATAAGTAAAATAAAACCCTTGGCAATGTCAATATTTTCTACATTTATCCCCAAAATAAAAAGAACTTGAAGTGCTTACTGATGAAAGTCAAAGATTCCAGTCTTTCAATATGAATTATATATACATTAACATAAAAAAGCCCACAAACTTTTTATTGTTGTTATGTGCCACAGAATTATCTATGACTCATAGTGACCTTATGTACAACAGTCATAAACCCTGCTTTATCCTGTGCCAATCTCACTGTCTCTGAAACACCTACCCCCATTATCCCACTTACTGAATCAGTCCACTTCATAAAGGGTATTCCTCTCCTGTGCTGTCCCTTCACCCTCCCAAACACGATATCCTTCTCCAAGGACTGGTCCCTCCTTGCAACATGTCCAAAGTAGGTCAGATGAAGCTTCAGAATCCTTGCCTCCAAGGAGTAACCCCTCTCCAGGATGAACTTCTTCATTTTATTAGAGTCCAGGGTATATTCAATACTCTTTTCCAACACCACAGCTCAAAGACATCAGTTCTCCTTCTATCATACCTAGTCATTGTACGGCTCTCTGATGCACAACAAATGATTGCAAAGACCATGGCCTGTATCAGATGCACCTTAGTCTCCACAGTGACATCATTACTCTTCAGTACTTTGGAGAGGTCCCTAACAGCAAACTTTCCCATTGCAATACATTTTTAAACTTCCTGGCTGCTGGTGCCAAGAGTGTTGACTAGGGATCCAAGCAAACTAAAGCTGTTAACAATCTCAATCTCAATCTCTTCACCATTTCTGATGCTGCTAATTGGCCTAGTGGTGAGAATCTTTGTCTTCTTGATACTGAGCCTCAATCCATATTGAAGGCTGCAGTCCTTGATCTTCTCAGAATCAGCCACAGTTTGTTGTGATCCAAGCTGTCAAACGCCTTTGCGTAATCAATATAACACAGATAACCATTCCTCTGTTGACAGAGAACTGCCAGAAGTGTAGGCTGGCTATAAGGGGGTTGTGGTACTAGGGTTATTGTTGCTAATGTTAGATGGATCTTGGCTGAAATTTTTTATTAAATTAAAAAAAAAAACGAACAATACTTACTCTGGAAATAGAAAAAGCATACATTTTAAAAATATTACTGATGATATTTCTTTGGTTTAAAAAGAACACTAGTCTTTCATAAACTTCTACCTTTTTAGATGTTAAGTTTTAAGCTCATTGACTTAAAATTATTACATGTAAATATGAGTGAATACTTTCCAATTATGTCCCATTTAGTGTGTGTGTGTGTGTGTGTGTGTATAATCCACTGCTTTTAACTAAAAGGAAACCAACATAATATTTTAGCAGCAATTGATTTATCTGATATTACACTCCTTACTAATCTCCATATCTTCCACTACCTAATCTGGTTGTTAGATGCTTTGAAGTTTATATAAATTTAAAACTCATAACCATCTGCAGAGATAGAGTAGAACTGCTCCATAGGTTTATTTTGGTTATAATCTTGACAGAAGGAGATCATCAGGTCCTTCTCTTATGAAATAAGTGAGTGTATTTGAACTCTTAGTCTCTCCATTAGCAACCAGGGTCTTAACCAGGGCTTCTCTCAATCTGGTTAGCCCTTACGGATTTGTACTTTTATGATTTTGAATATTTATAGCAGATTAGATGCACATTATTTGTGAGTTCTTTTATAGAATAGTCAATAAAATTTACCTAACTTTCTCATTCTAAGTTTTATCTACACTAGTCCTATGATGATTATAGGGCTCTCTTTGGTTGGATTCTGTCAAGAAATTCTTCTTCATGTGATATAGGCTGGGGCTTCAATCATCAGAGATTTAAATTGGGCTGATCAAGATGGCACCACAAATGAATGGAAGTTGGAGTAATTATTATCTGGAACGCTTGAGTTCGTGTTTTCTCTCTACTCAGGGTCATCTTTTTATGGAATTGAGGTGTTTCTTAGTTACTGATAACTGTCTGCATGATCAACTCGTAGCAACCCTGTGAACAGCAGATCTGAAACTTGCTCTATCTTCAAGATCTCATGCTCAAACCCATTGTTGCAGTCACTCTGTCAATCCATCACCTTCAGAAATACTTTCCTCTCTTTCATTGAACCTCTTCTTTAGCCAGAATGTTGTCTTCTTCCAAGGACTGATCTCTTCTGACAATATGCCCAAAGTATGTAGGGCCATATTTCATTATCTATGCCTCTGTGTGGTGACCTGGTTACACTCCCTCAAAAACAGATTTGTTTGTTGTTTTCAGACCTAAGAGCCCCAAGAACCTAGGTTTTAAGAAGAGGAATACAAAATAGTCTAGCCCTCACAGAAGCAAGATAAAGGACTCCAGTTACTTGAGGTTTTCAGTTCATCACAGTAGAAGACAGGGGAGGGTGTTGAAAAGATAGAAGAAATCATTTTACTAATATTATTAATACACAATTTAACAGAACACATTGTTTAATAAAAATATTTTTATTGCAGTTAGAGTACCTAAATAAGGAAAGTAACTAATTTGGGAATTTTTTATAACAAACATGAACTAAATTAGCAATTTTTTGAGTTACAACAATTATCTTATAGGTAAATTACATGTAAGATTAGAAAAGGCTAGACTCAAGAAAAATAATATCTAAATAAAAAAGAAAAAGCATTATACTAGTAGGAAGACATTAACATGAATCTCTGGAACTACATTATAAAAGCAGAAGTGAACATCAGACAAATTTTCTCCTTCCTGTTTCTACCATGAATACTGTACACACTTGATGGAGGAAATAGTAGGTCCTACCTGCATTCATTCTGATATTGTTCCCTGCCTGCATGACTGTTTTATTATTATTACATAGGAATATGGCCATTCTGATCCAGACTTTTCTTCTTCAGACAGGTAAAAATTGATAATATTTAAATATGAGTGATTTAAAAAAAATCCCAAGTGCACATTCTAGAGTTGTTTTAATAAGATGGTTAAAAATTGTTAATTTAAAAAATAATGTTCATGAGACAAAAAATATGGAGTATGCTTAAATAATTCTCCAAATTCCTGTCTCTCAGGATCAATTGTGCCAGGAAACTTTTCTCTGTTGTGAGTCTCCCTAAAAGTTGTATTTAATGTTTTAGAATTGTGTTTGCTGAGAGAGAGAGAGAGAGAGAAGGGAGGCTAAAAAAAATATTACTATCTAGGTAAAAGGCAAAGGCAGTGAGTGTGTACGCTTGGAAGTCCCTTGCTCTTGATTCTGAAGTTGCACTTGTGTGGATTTTAAGTATAAATCAATTTTTATAAAAAGGATACAATGTTTATTAAATATATTTATATATTCTGCTTTGAAGTGCAGTGATTCAAGAAGCATATTTTACAACACAAGGGTTTTTCCATTCAGTTGTTTTATATATCAGCTCTATTTTAAAATAGTACTCTGAAGACATGAAACACAACTTATATGGTATACCAAGTAAGACTGGAAAAAAGAGAAAAGGAAGGGGGAAGAAGAAGGAGAGAGAGATAAAAAAGAAGAGACTGAAAGGTAGGGAAAGAAGAGAGGGGAAAATGCCATGACATACTGGCAGCCACAGCTTTCCTTTCCTGAGCATCAAAGCATCCTCTATCTGTAGGCTGTAACAAAGAAATAACCATAGACATTTATTTTTGGTGATTAAAAAAAAAATTAAGGAGGGGTTACTATAACTTATAGCTACTTTGCAGGACCTAGCAGAACTGTCCGACGTCTTTATCAAAAGAGAGAAGAGTATTTTTCTCCAGTGAAGAGGGTTATTCCTTTCCTTAGCAGACAACAGCTTAACCAAGGCGCCAACAAAGACTACTGTATTCTTGCTTTTGACAGGCATGCAGGCACGCCTCATCCAAGTCCCTATCCGTTCAGGAGTAAAGAGCTTTAGAGTACCAGGAGTAGGCACGCTGGTTCCTTGGAGAGGCTGCCACAGGTTTCTGTTTGTGGTCAGAGGTGGTAGTGTATCCCTATGTCTGGGAGATAGCATTCCCAAATGCTGGAGACATAACCCAGATCCCCAGTTTTCAGGCACCAAGGGAAGTGAGCTGGAGGACAGGTAGCTTTGCAGTGACTAGGGCCTGGAGTGCAGGCATGCTGTGCGGGGGAGGAGCGGGTGGCACTGCCAGCTCTCATTCAGGACCCGAGTGTTTTGCAGACACGTTAAAGCCGCCCCAGCTCTTGGCGTTTGTGCCTTCTGAAGCTACTGCCAGCACCCTGAGCCTCAACCCTGCTCACTTTGGAATCCTCTTCTCCTTCATCCCCATCACGTACCTGGCCTGAGCTGCCAGCCTCATCTCCTGTGTGTCCTTCCTGGCGGGACCGACCCTGTCTCTGTCCGTCTCCACCTCTCCTCCTCTCCTCTCCACTCCCGGACTCACAGCGCTTCCGCCAGCACCATGGAAGCACCGTGTGGAAACTCACAAGCAGCCAGCGCCTTTGCCTTGGGGATCTCTGGTCTGGCGCCTTTTGGGTGAGATGAGCCAGGGAACTGGTATCCCCACTGGTTTGTCTTGTAACCATAAAGACCTGACTGAGAAAGAAAGCACTCCAATTGGTTTTGGAGCTCCAAATCCTGCACTGGCATCTTCTTCGACCTCCACTTCTTGGCGACCACGATTGTTTATATAGGCTCTGGAAGCCGGGAGGGGTTGCCCACCTCCTCCCCAGGCGGCCCGCCCTCCTTCCTGGGCTCGGGCTCCTGCACGTGGTAGACACCAGCCAACGTCTCCGTGGAGCAGGGGGCGGCAAGCGCGGGGCCGGCGCGGGGGAGCAGGCGCGGCGCGCTTTCGCCTTCTGCGCGTCCTCCCGGGCTCCCTCGACCGCCTCCAAGTCCAACGCGGACTCGCTTTCTCCACCCTCGGACTCATTTAGGGGAGGGGAGATTTCCAGCTGCCCTTGAGGTGCTCCTGATGTTTTTATGGGTTCATGCAGTTTCCGGAAAAGAATGGTAACATGAACAGTGGAGCGTGAGAGCGTCACCAGAGGAAGGGGAAGAGATTGATGGGCAGAACGCTGACTTGGAGCAGGATCACGTTCTGAGGACCGTGCCAAGAGGGGACGTCGCAACGCCTCTACTTCCAGGTTGGACTCAGCTGACATCTGTAGCCTCCCTTCCACCAGGTTCCCAGGTAGCGTGGCGCTGCTTGCTGGAGAGCAGTGTTTAGACAGCACGGGAGGATCCGGGAGTTGGTGGACCTCTGTCCAAAGAGGAGTTCAACCCGGGATCCTGAGTCTCTGGATCCCCGTGGAGTCCTCAGACACGCTGGCTCCCGAAGGAGCTGGGCTTGAGTTCAGGTGGGTTATTTTACAAGAACTACAGGAGGAAATGTTCAGGGAAGATGAGATGAGGAAGGTGATGTTCCAGTGTCAAAAGCGGACACTTTTCCTCCAGACACTTGATGGGGCTGAGTCACTTCCTCTCAAGCAGTCCTCTTAACCTGCTCCTCCAGACTCAAACCTCCCACACTAAGCAAGGAGGTACTCCCTGATTTCCTTAAAGTATCTAGCATGCTATTGACTTTCTCATAACTTATTATTAGCCTATGAAACAATCATATATACTCCATTGCTTTGTACTTATGGAGGTCGATATGCTTAATGATTTCCTCAGTCAAGTCATTTACTCCTAAGCCAATAGATAGACGCCTTCGTCATAGTTTTCTGGGGGGAAAGTAACTGTGCGTTTGTTCTGCAGATGGCCAACTCCCTCTGAATCCTGCAGATTGGTGCTGAGCACGCAACAAAAGTTTTTAGCTTCAGTTTCTGGTGCTTCCCAGGGCAAAGAAAAAGACTTTGGTATTAAACAACAGGAAGCAGCCAGGGGACCTTCTCCTTTAACTTTTCTTCTGTGTTGTCATTTGCAATGAAGAGGAAACAGAAGAGATTTCTGCAAATGACTTTGTTGTTCATGGTGGCTTTAATTTTCCTGCCCAATATTGGTCTCTGGTCTCTGTACAAGGATAAGCATCTGGTGAAATCTACAGAACCTGGGGAGCAGCAGGTAAGTACCACCCAGAGAAAGCGTCCAAGAAGATTGGTAAGACTTGTGATCCTGGGACTCCAGGAAGCAGATGTGGTTTTTGCATTGGGATGCATTTTATAGAGCTGATCTTACTTGATTCTGGAGACTTTGGGGTTTAAGCTGTTATTTCAAAATTGCAAGCAGTGACTTTGTGATGAAACTAGAGAGGGAGAAAAAAAACCAACCAATAGGTGAAGTTAAGAAGAGAAAAAAACCTTTTAGAGTTCCCTAAGGTTGCTTTTTGGATCTAGGTGACTAGAAGGTAACTTTATTTGTGGGCTATAGGGAGTGGGCTAGCTAGAAATTTGGTCACAAGGATACTTTTATCTCTTTAGTTCTTGTGGCTGTGCTTCAGTGAATTAGGTAGATTAAATCATTAAATTTTGAAGATGTACTTAAAAACCAAACTGCAGTTTTCTATATTTTGAGTATTATTTTTGCTTAGCAAAAGACTTTCACTTTGTAGAAACTTAGTCTTTCATCTCCTGTGTAGCTAAGGTAATATGATTGAGCATACATACAGGCCGAATTATTAAAAATGTACACTTTTACAGTCTAGTGATAACAGTTTGCTGCTATAAAGCTTTTCCTGGTATTGAAAGCAACATGAAAGTTCTTTGTTTCTTCTTTTTTATTTTTTTTTCAGTTTGCAGTTCATTAATGTGTACATCATTAATAACTTGTTATGGATGAAAAGAACCTTTCAACGAATAATAATTCAAAAGATCTTAAAAATTGTTGATTAAGTTCAATATTAAATTGTCAAGTTATTTGTTTATAAATATATACAACAACTATGTAATTAAAATTTTAACAATGGAATACAACCTTTATAATGGTATTAATAGATTATTTTTTTCAGTTAGTCCTGTGCATCACTTTGGAATATTAATATTCTTAATTTCAAAGGTCATCACCCATGCATACTATGTACCATTCATAAATATAATGTATTTAAGAACAAGACTTCTTGATAGCAGTAGTATATATTAATGATTATTAAATCTTTTCTTATTCTTAAAAAAGTTTCTTTTTACTAAATACAGAGTAGTTAGTTATGAAATTATCCATTACCAAGTTCTACATTTAAAATAACTAGTTACTCCTGGATTTTTTTAATAGATGTGAACTTTGAAGAAAAATATTGACATAAATTCAATTATTTACTGAACTTTGTATAATAAGAACTTAACTGTTTCTCAAATGAATTTAACTTTGTTTTGAAGTGTATTTTACTGTATCATGCTAGTAGCAAAAGAAGATGAGTACTTTGGATAGGAAACATTTCCTTTATCCTATATAGATCACATATTTCCCCATTTATTGTTTTTACATAAAACATGAGTCTATTTACATTAGTAGTCAGTATGTCATTATGTAACATTTTCATCCCAATGTTGGTTAAATAATCACAAAACCAAAAATATTTTCCTCAAGTCTTGCTGAGTTGATTTATAATTACCCTATGAACTATTTGCTGGTGTAGCTAACATAAAACACTAATGAATCTTAATGAGATCTTTATAACTTTCATACTGGCCCTATTGATTTTGGCCCTTACTTAGAGATTTGTTTGTCCAATGGCATAAAAATAAAATGTGGCACTTCAAGACTTTGACTTGTCATTAAAATCTCTAAAACAGTTTCCTTGTTTCTGGTTCTTCTGCAGTACAAATGAGACATATTGTTGAGTAATAAAAGAATGGGTTTGAAAGACATGAAATAACAAGTAAAAATGGTTTCTTTAAAGTTTCAGATACTGTAAAGTAAATAAATCTGATTGATAGATGTCCTGTGACATTTCAGTGCGTTCATCTTATGTAACGATTTGAAACTAAGAGATGAAGAAAAAGTAGTTATATTCTATAAAATGAATGCTAATCATTTTGTTCTTTGGTATTTTTGCTTTAGTGTTTTTCCCTAATGGTTTTCAAACTAAGGAATAATGGTGATACAGTTAGCTGATAATTTATTGAAAAGTCGAACTCATTTCAAAATAGCAAAACTTAAGCCATCAGTGGATTTAGTCTGCTAATAAATATAATTGAAAAGAAGCTCAGAATGTGTTGTCATCATTATATAAGTTTTGGATAAGTGAAAGTTGAGTCACTAATGTACATGAATTTAACCAAACAGAAGTGAGCTACAAAGTTAAGTTTTCAGGTTCAATAATATGATACAATATGTTGCTTAATGTATCTCTATATAGTCTAATATCTTAGCTAAATAATTTTCAATTGGAGCATATAATATTTGGGGTAATAATATTTTTTAAATTACCATTCTATATTTTTTCAAAGACAGTTTACTGTGTTAAAATGCTAAATGTTCTTCATATGCCATTTTTCTTTTTTTTCATTATTTTAGCTACAAGTTTTAAAATGTTAAAGGTAAGAATAATGTACTGAGTGAGACATTGACAGCAATAAGTACGGAAGCTATTCAAAACAAGTCATGTACTCAAAGAAGCAGTCTATTTTTAACCACAGTTTAGTGTAAAACAGGGGTTCTGTCCTAGGTTTTCATTCTAAGTGTGATGTGGTCTAAGTGTGGTTATCTTCCTCTTAGATGTTGAAAAAGATCAGTGTGAAAGAATTTAATTATTGCAGTGAATTGCAGGGAAATTTAGATTCATGGAAGGGCTAATATTTTGAAAGTATATTCTTAGTCTCTTTCTTGCCAGAGCACATTACTGAAAGTTGGCTACCTTCTATTCAGTATTAATTATGCTTATTATACATGATGAGATAAACTGGTAGAAAATATATAAAAATATATAAAAATATTTTTATGGAAACATTTGTGTTTTATTTTGCAGTTAGTATTCAACACGTGCATGTCTCGAGTCTTCTATATTATTCAAAATTCATTGTTCCAATTTACTATAGTTCCACATGAAAAGTAATAGTTACAACTTTTCATAATAATAGACATTTATCCTCTCAATCACACATGCACACAAATAATGAAATAAAAATTCTCAAATGAGTTCTCTAAATGTAGTCTTTTTTCTTCCCCTAACAAAACCAAGGAGAATTTCTCTAAAGACACAATACTGTTACAAGTTGTTAGGATTTTGTTTGTTTAATTTTAATAATTTTGGATCTGCAAATTTCAAATCAAGTTATCCTAATAAGTATTAACCTTGATATTTTGAAGTGTCATAAAATTATTTTATTCTTTACAAGTGATAACATTATCTGTCATAATTAAATGTCCTATATTTCAGTTGATTATATTTGTATCTTTTACTGTTGGAATGGTGGAAATATCTCCTTTATGCTATTTAGAAATTTATAAGTATATAAATATATAAATTTATATGTTTCAAAATAGTATTTTGATAGTGAATATGGTGTTTAACTGAGAACGAGTACTAGTTTATCTATTGTAATTCTTAATTTAATTTTTCTTTTAAACATTTTCCTTGCCTTTGTTTTCTGGCTTCTTCTGTATTTGACATGAAGACACTAAGGTCTCTTAAGCTGTAGTATAGTATATTGTGTGGGACAGGAAATATTTCAGTATACAATTAGTGCACCCAACAGAATTGTAACTCTTTCCCTCGTTATTTAAGTTTGTCATAAATAACAACTACCCAAAACACTTTCTCTTCATTACATATGTTAAGGAGTTTAACCAAAAACACAATTAGAGCTTCAATAGTAGTTTAATCATAAGTGATAGAAATTTTAGAAATTGTTTCAAAGTATTGAGACTCTGAAAATAATTTTGTACTTTTTGAAATGAAAATGAAGGTAACATCTCCTGATTTTATAAAAGACATTTTAAGAGTTGTTCAGAAATATTTCAGAAATCTAACTTTGAAGTAGATTTTCTGCCACATTTAAAAACAATATTCTAGGCACTCAAGTCACTTTGAAATTGTTGAACTGCTGTATTTCTTTTTATAGTGAAGCCTGGGAGAGCCAGAAATCAACAAGAGTGCCTTCATTATTCCCCCTTCCCTGAGATCTTGCAAGTTTTCTGTCTTTGACAGTGTCTGTCTTACCATTTTCCCATTATTCTTTCATTACTGTAAAATATTTGCATTTAACTTCTCTGATGGGTTTCACAGGTTCTGGCTTTTGCACTTCTTGCTGTACTGACTTTTTATTTCTAAAATAGAGCTTGATCATGCTTGCCGTGCTTAAGATATACAAAGTCATGAAATCACTTAATAGAGAGGGAAACTGTTGTGAGGTAATGAATGTTCTGTTTTTATTCAGATCCATATGTGAACTGTACTCGACAGAGACATGATTTAATCTCCACTGGGGGAGGGGAATGCATCTATAATCTGGTAAAAGATATTCCTCAGCATTGTTGTCAAATTGCTCTAGTGTTAACCAACTTCACACTTTTAGTCTATTCTTCCTTTTGCTTAAGATTCTTCTTTCAGTAGTGTTTTGAATTTGCTTTATGATATGAAAACTTCAGGAAATTGGTACTCAGTACTTCACAAAGCAGGACTTCATGCTTTCCTTTGGTATATTGATTACTCTAACTCCAGTGTGCCCATATTCCTTTTCCAACAAACACTTTGGATTCTGGGAAGAGCTAAGGACAAGAAAAAAAGGAAATGTTCTCCTCCTGCACCCATGATGGTATATTATTAACGCACTGATGTGGGAAAATGTATTTATTTGAACAGTACTGTTGCTAATTAGTGAAGTTGGAGACTTTAAAGTAGGATTTTAAAGAATTTTTCTTGAATTTATGGAAAATCAATTCAGAATTGCTGCAGGACCATACCCCACAGACTATTATAACAAGCGTCTTAATTACTTGCTGTGATCTAGTAGATCTCTACATGATTAGTCCATAACATCATCTCTTGGGACATAGAGTGTGAAGTATAGTCATCTGTTCACAATCTGTTAAAATATGAGATAAATTCGTTTTCCTACTCATTTATAACTTGAACAAACTGCTGAATCCATTATTACTAAGTGACATGAAGTTGAATACAACTCATA